GGGGGGAGCAGCATATCAGATTATAGAGCAAAAACATGATGTGCAACAGTGGAGGCTAAAGGCAGCAGTTATTGTCTCAGGTTTGTGTGTAGATCATCTTTCTAATGCTAAACTTTATCCCAATGCTATCTTCACGGAACCACACTGTCATATCCAATCACATCTCCACCGTGAGATCTGATAGGATTGTTTATGTTGTGTTGGTGTGTGTGTGAGTGTGCAGTCACAAGAGAAAGAGAGAAAGTGGGGGATGCACACGTAGATCATGTGTATTCATCTGTGCATGTGACAGACGAGGTGATTTGAATGTGCACACGTTAGGGGCCCCTTCTTTCCCGCCCCCAGAGGGAACTCAAGGACACATCCTTTTTGCAGGAAATGAAAGAGGGGCATGCACTCATCCCCTCATCATGCTATAGTGTGTGTGTGTGTGTGTGTGTGTGTGTGATTACAAAACATACTGCTGACAGCTTCCATTAGCCTTAAACCTCCAAAGAATGAAAATGTCAATAACTAGGTCTTACCAACACTAACACACCCCATACTGATCTAAATCGCTACATTTTACTCAAAACTTAAGTGAAACTGTTTAGAAACATTTCCATTTAATCATTTACCAAGTATAAATACCAATATAAGAAAACTGTAAATAAAAGAGGCTTTCACTGTCACAAAGAAATGGACCTCGGTGACCAACAAAAAACAGTTAATGGTCATGGGCACAGTATTTCTTACAGTAGCTGGTGATATTATAGGTGTGAAGAGCGAAGATAGCATCAGTGAAGGACCCTTATTATTTAAAGCCTGTGGCACTCTGGGCAACAAAGTCCCTTTTGTTGTGGCCCCACTGAAAGGAACAGTCCCCCAGCAAACACTGTGGTCCACATCGAATCCATTCACTGAGCCTCACACTGGAGAGACTTCAGGCAACTAGAGGGCTAAAATACCCACAAACCCACCTCTGTCATGGGTCATCCTGTTCCATTTGTACCCGAGTGTCTAACTTAGATTGGGTGCTATTGCCAAAGTCAGTTTTGCTCTAATTATCATCCATATTATCTCAATATCAACTTGTGATCATACAAAGTATTAAAATTGTACGGCCAACTAACATCTATACATTTCTAAAACATATACCGAATATAAAATATTTATATTATATCATTTCTAATTTGTGCATTTATAAATATTTTTTTTGTTTTATATAGTATTTGAGTTTGTGTTTTTTTTTTTTAAATGTTTTGGTAATTAGTAACTTAAGTACTTAATATACAATAAGTTATAATGTGTCAAACAATAAACTCTTTAAACCTCACCAATTAATGCATTATTAATAATTAGTAAAAGTTGTATTTCTCATTTACATAAGTGATATAAATACAGTTTAATCAACTTAGAATGTACTAATTATTAGTGTTAGTTATCTTAAACTGTTATCCACTTTAAGTCATTATAAAACCTTTTTTTTTCATAATTTCCTTCCAGAGACTGGGAAGAAAATAATTCTGAGAGCTTTTCAGTTGAGATACAAAAGGAAGAGCAGAGGAGAGAAGGGAGGACAGACAATGTGAAGAGAACATAGAAGAAGAATGGAGAGGAACAGGGTGGGGGGAGAAGAGGGAGGCGGGGCAAACAGAGGAGGAAAGGGCTTAAGGATATAGACTGATGAGAAAGTTTCAGCTCTAAGCAAACAAGCAACAGCAGCGTGTCAGACGTTTGACCAGGGGTTAATGAAGGAAGCCAACAAATCGCACAGTGACACACTGCATGCCTTCAGTCCTAAACAAGCAGGCCAAAGCCATTGATCCTGTTACTGCATGGATGGAAACCCTCAATTTCACTCATTTATAGCTCTTGAAAGAGAAGCAGGCAGTGAGAGTGTAACGATGCTTGAAGGAAGGCAGGTTTAATCAGAAGACATCTTACATGTGTGTGTGCACAATTAAACAGACAATCAATAACTTGCTGATGAAAAAATTGAAAGTTTTAGTTTTAGAAGAAATGACATCTGATATGATATGATATGACATGATACCAAATATGTCTGGAACTAGTGGTCCTATGTTTGGAGATTAGCATGAACAGCAACACAATATTACAGACAAGGAGAGAAAGAAAACAAAGAGAGGTAACGTCGATATTAAGAAGAGTAAAAACTGCTTTTGGATGGTGTCCACAGCCAGTCCATGAGGAAATATATGAAAGCTGACAAGGAAGGGTGCAACAAGTTGACGCAGGGTCTGTGACTAAGACAGAGCCTGGGTGGTGTTGGGGTCATGGCTGTAGTTACACAACAAAACTGTAATGACTGAATTATTTCATAAACATAAGTCCTTAAAATATCAGCTGATCTATCCATCAACTGGCCTGAGGACAACAAACTGTAAAATATAAAGCCTCTATTTCTGTGTCCAGAGGCCTTAACTGAAAGCTTAAATTCAAGGGAACACTCACTTTATAAACAGGCTACTCTAGTGTGTGACATTTAAAGGGAGGCAATTCCAAGCACATTCCTCCGTTACCTTTGTGCTCTCACGGTCTGGAAACAAGTCTGTGCATGCCCCTGTCCTCTACCTGCAGCTGACAGGAGCCTATGGTTACATGGCTTTATCAAATTATTTCTACTTCGTAAATAAAATGGTTTGTACATATTTATGTGCATTTTGTATGGATATGTATAACTTGTACTTCATTCATATGCATTATAGCACTGCATATAACAGTATGAAGAATGTGGACAAACTTATCTTTCACTAACACTTTGAGAATACATATCAAATAAAATAAAATATGTAAAATAAAAAGCCATGCTAAGTGAAACACACAGTCATGCAATTACATTCTGTGACTCTGCTTTGTGATTATTTGGGGCATTCCACGACACAGAGGTTGGTTGTAAATGTGGTGTATTAACAGTGAGGACATTTGAGAACGAAAACCAGACTTAAAATGTATAATAACGTGTATATCCAAGTGTGGACGGACCTGAAAGTGTATATATTGGCAGTTGCATAGTCAAAGAGGGCAAAGTAACCATCTGCAAACATGAGAAATGGAGTGGCTTGTGTAATTAGCAAACAACGGCTATCGTAGTCCCAAACAGTGGCAGCATGCAGCCCCAGTTCAAAGACTGAAACACACACACAAAGTACACAATGTGTCACAAAACATTCCCAAACACGCAACAGTTTAACTTTCCTGAGAAAATCAATACTCAGGCTTTCTTCAATCTGCAGCCCATTTAGAGTCAAATAAATATTTGACAGTTTCACAACACTTTAGTGTTTCTAAATACAGTGATGGGAAAAGACTGGCAATAAAACAGGCCTAGTCACGAGAGATAACTCTAACTGCAGCCAATAAACTCATTTAGGTTAAGACCCACTCATGACTGAAGAAGAAAATGTGGTCTTAGTACAGGCAACTTTAAGTAGCCTATGACCGGTCCTCCTTCCACGGTTAGTGGGACATGAAGGACAATGAAAGCCCTGTGCATGCATAAACAAAGGCATCAGGCCATTACAATAATCAGGGAGCCCTTTGAGACGGCGAGAAAAAGGAAAAAAGCCTCAAGAGAAGTGCCATGACCCCATTTCTTCTTCCCTATCAATCAGTCACTTCTGAGGGAGGCAGGTCTAAGGCCTTGCCCCCCAACAGAGGCCCCATCACCCGCAAGATGACAGAAAGGACAAATGCAGACTTACAGATCAATGAAGACTCAACTTTCACCCATATGACAGCAAAACAAGATAACTGCCAATTGGCTACACTGACTTTATACAAAATAAAAAAATGTTTTAAAAAAAAAAGGCATTTAAGTATAGGCCTGAAAATAAATATACTTTGTGCTTTAACCAAAGGATAGCAACGAAAGTAAAACAAGCAGACTAAAAGGCATGATTTAGGTTTGGATCACTAAAGCAAGTAGAAAAACATGCTCATCATGTGTCTTTAAGGTGCTCCTGAGGAAGGGCCAATCCCTTACTAGGACTTTATGCCTCTTTCTTTTGCAATCAAAAAAGGGTAACGTTTTTTATCTGGTAGCCAACGCTGCCCTCAGCTAGAGTAAGTGCAGTAACCCTGGCTATTCTGCGGCCAGCTAATGTTCTGATATCTAAACCCTGCTCAGTAGCGTACCTACCTAATAATATTGCATAGTTTCTCACTGGTAAGTAAAAAAGCTTCAAAAACATTTTCATTTTCCAAGACGGCATATGAATATTATTCATGTACTGGATTGTTGAAATGGCTTTGGAAAAGAGTCAAAAAACTCAAATCAAATGTCAGATTAAGTGCTGCGCTTTAAACAATCAAGCCAATCTATCAGAAGAATTGCCTCACACAATACAAATGCTGAGAAAAAGGATTTCAGCATGATACAATTCCTGCCTAGCATTGCTACACTCCCCTTTCTAACCACTGCTGTCAACAACTTTGGCAGAATAACTTGGACACACCAAGCGACAAAGTGTGCTTTCAGACATCAGCGCCCAGGTATACTTTGCACAACCTGGCAGTTTGTACAAGCAAACACAAGGATGCTTGTGAAAGGCCAGGCCTTTCCCCAAAAAGAGGGGAGCTCAGAAACAGCTATGCCCAAAGTACTGGACACACTGCTGGTGTGTTTGTTTGTGGGGTAATGGGTGTGTTTGGGTGTGTATTTGCAGGAATGTGAGTTTGTGTGAGTATATGCATGCATTATAAGCTCACGACCGAGGACAGCTGGACTTATGTCCTCAGGGACAGGCAGTGCATGTTGTGATTGGATGACATCATCACTGTGTTGTGTAAAGGCTTGTCTTGCAGTGATGACCAATGTGTGGGATACCAACACTCTCACCCACTCTGTACAACTGTCCACTTCATCAGCCCAACAATGATCCTGCTCTTCGCCAAGAGCAACATATAAAAGCCTCTGACTAATGCACTAAACATTTGAATCTAAAAACTCTATTGCCGAACTGTATACAGGAAGAACACCATTTAGAGATACCGCATTGCAAGAAATAAAAGAAATACAACTTTAAAAAATGACAAAACATTTTTTTTAAACAGACCTACCTTACCTAAACTATTTATAATTCTTCAAATGTACCACACTGGCATAGAGAACAGAAGGGTTGGTTATCATTAAAACATTGGCAGAAGAGATAAGGCGATCCAAGATTACAGACATTGTTTCAGAACCAACCCATGTTCTAGGACTTTGGTTCATGGAAATTTGATTGTAAATATTTGAACAAGTGATTTCATATTCTAGGTAAGGGATTTTGATAGTGAATATCTCAGTGTGTTCTTACTACAACAAGTAGAATGGAGAGACAGATGAACAGGCGTGCACAACAAAGAGTAAAAGATAAAAGTATGTATCTCAACATGAGTTATTGCAGCTATAAACAGACAGAGCTTCAGACAGCTGTATCTAAGGACTGCCTTACTGAATACAGAAGCCATCCTCTTTAGGAAGCCGGTGTTGTTCCTTTGTCTGCTGCTACAAAGACCGACACTATGGACCCAATATGTACCATCACACATTCTTCAATCGACTCTAATTAATAGTAGAGGATTTGATGGGATTCTTCTCCAGCTGCATCCAGGCTGAATGCTCATCATTCCCACAGGGGTTGGGGGAAAAGCCTCATACGGGTGAGCTGATTGATAAATTAATGACTTTTTTCCCCCAGAAAGAGAAATTCCATTGTGATTGCAGCAGAAGCAAGAGCAGAACAGCTCATTAAAAGGGCCTTATATAGGAGATGATTGGACAGAGGTTATGGTTCTGGATGGGAAGACAAGTAGATGCTAGCATGTTTTACTCATAACAAAGATCATACGATGAGTGTGTATGCATGTGTGTTAATTACCTCTACAGTGAGGGCCCTCGTCCCAGCCGTCAGGGCACTCAGGGACTCCATCGCACAGTTTGCTCATATGGATACACACATCTGGGTTGAGGCAACCGTGTTCATTGACAGGACACTGGCTCACCCTGTTGTGAGAGCCTGGAGAAAAAAAGATAAACATGTAAGGATACACAGAAGTACAAACATATAGAGAACCAAAATGCAACAAATGACTTAAGTGAAGTGGATAAATCCACCTTTAAATGAAAAATATCAAGCATTTAACACGTTTGTATTTGGTTTGATAAACCTACAGCCTGAGCCTACACATGCTGATATTAGAGTATATGTTTGGAATATGGCTATGGGCTAGGTTGAATCCCTAGCTGTGGCTCTAGTTTGATTTCATCCCACCTGGAAAGATATAGGTCATTCGAAAAAGAAGAAAACATCTATTCTATTATTATTATTGTTATATCTGTAACTTGATCAGGAAGTCTGTTTGAGATCAAAAACTGTTTTGAAAGAGAGAGCTGAGTGTAAAAGAATAAATACACAGAGATAAGACACACATCAAAACACAGCCTGGATCAAACAGAAGAGGACATCACCGAATGGTTCTTGAACTGGCTGCCTTTGCGGTTCACATTCACATTGTTCAATTCATTTATTTCCCGTGGTGACAAAAGGCACTATCATCAACCAACATAGAAGAGTGAATAAAAAAAAAGCACATCTTCTCTACAGCCTTTAAACCTTCATTTTCACTCGTCAATCAAGTTTTGCCAGGGTGGAGCAACATTGTACTGGTTAAATCCACACTGACATATACAACCATAGCAGGTAAGGCAGATAAGGGGTTCTGTGCACAATATGGCAAACAAGTGAAATATGCAGCGCAAATGCAATCATTTTGAAGATACCGAAGGAACATATTACAAAAGTAAACACTCTCAGCAATTTATATTCAATGTAAAGGGGGGTGTGGAGGGGAGGACAGAACATGATCTCCTCTGGTCCAGAGAAAGCAAAGATGTTTTCTTTACCGATCTACATACAGTCTCTTTCCTTCATTCTCTCCCACTCCTCTCTCTATCACTCCTCTCAACCCACACTGCAGAGCAAACAGTTTGTTTTGGCTGTCTGTCTTTCTTCTTCTTCTTCTTCTTCTTCTTCTTGTTCTTCTTCTTCCTCCTCCTCTTCTTCCTCCTCCTCTTCTTCCTCCTCCTCATCTTCCTCCATCTCTCTAACATCTGCTGACCCATTTTAGAAAAACACTAGAAGAAAAAAAATGAAGTTCACCGCCTTCACAGGAAACGATCTGTAGAGTTCTGCGGAATCTGACATACCGGTACTCAGATTCTGAAGGAGGCAACTGAAACACGTTAGCTGCTCTGGCTGCAGCCTTTCCAAGAACCGCACACAACCCGCAGAACTCTACAGATCGTTTCCCGTGGAGGCGGTGAACTTCATTTTTTTTGTGTGTGAATATTAAGCAGCTAAAATGCAAATCATTGGACCCTTATTTCTGCCTTGTGCGTTTTATGAGTTCTGAAGTGAGACTAGAGGGAGTTGTACTGTAAGTCACAAAAATATGATTGACTTGACATTCAGTATGTAAGTTCTTTGTCTCATGCATATCCAGTATGACTTATGGGGAGTTATAAGCTCTTGAAAGAAAGTTAAAACAAATCTCTCGTATTCATACAAGACATGCAATCACATGTATTAAAGTGTGGATGTGCATAAAGACTTATGAGGGAGAACATCTGCATGCATGTCGGCATTCCCTGAAGAAACCACAAGCATTCCTTCCAAGTCCTCTCTCTCCATCCAAAAGATTAGTAACCACACAGATCATAAAATGTAATTCAGTTAAAACAAGCATCTTAAAGTGACAAGAGCTAGCATAATGATCCCACCACAGCAGCCTCTGTGGAGAATGTGGCATATTCCAACAGAGAATTAGCTTTAAAATACATCTGGCTTAGGGAGGGAGGGAGAGAGAGAGCTCTCCTATCTGGGGGGGTGCGAGTATATTAGCAGCCCCCCTACAACCTCAGCCTCTAAGCCAGCCTGATTTACATTCAATAAACTGCCAACCCGGGGCTTTCGACATAAACTGCAGCAACCAGAATGAACTCACTGCACACTGGAAATGGAACAACTGCCTAGGATTTGTCATATGTAAACCATTTTCTCTGAGTATAAAAAGACAGAAAGTCATCTTACGGCCCCCCCATTGCATGGATCGGGTCGGGTCTGTCATATAGCATATTTGACAAAAAAATGACGTGTCACGGATTGAGCTGACCGACGGACAAACTAATTAACTGACACAGTGTGGTACACTATACCAGGAACCAGGTGCTTACACACTGCTGCCAACAAACACTGACAACACAATAACTCTGCTTTCCATCACACACACTTCTACCTTTTCACTCACCAGGCAGCAGCAGAATATGTTTAACTGCCAGCGATACAAAACAGCCGGAAGGAATTGTTTGAGTTCCACAACACAGTAATACCTTGGCAGGAGCTGAATAGAGTCCAGCAGCAGTCAACTAAATAGAAAGAACAATATGGAGGATTAAATAACTTTGCAGGAAGGACAATGGAGATGAACCCTGTACTCCCTGCTCCACTTTGGGAAGTTGTTGGCAGTGTATTACAATAACCTCTCCTCATACTGGCAGTAGTCATTTCCTGCGTCATCTGTTGTCAGTGGAAACCAAGCATTACTACACAAATCTAAAGGGAACAAACTTCTTCTGTCCTTTTTTTATATTATTGATACAGACAACATAGTAGTCCATAGCATTCACTAAACTTTGTGACACAGTCATCAACTATCTCATTTGAGTGTTTATATGTTGGGAAGATCACTGATCGCAGGAAGCAGCATTGGCCGATCTGAATTTAAAGCCGTTTCTCCTCACTGGTCATTATGCAAGTATGCTCCTATGCTTTTCCTATGTTTCATTAGTTTCTGTCTATGTGTCTATCTTACTCCCAATGTGATCACATGAAGGTTTTGGCAGCTTTCTTAGTCAAACTGGATATGTATTCAGTGTGTCAGTGAAGCAACAACGTGTAAAGCAATTCATCAAGCATGCAGTGCCTTATTTTGATCTGAAAGATAAATTATGTTTATATAATGAAATATTTGTCCCTGTCTGTCACAATAAGAACTACAGCAGGTGGTTCTTTTGTTTAACTTGGTCATACGCTTTGGTAAGGAAGTAAACTAATACAAAGTTCAGATCTTTAAACATTTTGTGTTTATACCCTGTCTGGGAAATCAGCACACTGTGTTTATAGTCATCAGAGAAACTTCATATTAACCCTAAACTTGCATGAGAGGGTCCAGCTTTCTATTCACATTCCTTTGTGGCAAGTTATGCATTTACCAGCACAGCTTCTCTTTGCATTGTTATGTTGATCCCATTGGAATAAATAAATGTAACACTTAAAAGGAGAACTTAAATGCAAAGTAAACCTTATTACTAACATTTATATGCTTATTTATGTTGCCTGTCATTGCAAAGCCAAAACCAAAGACTTGTGTTTTTCATTTTTAAACAGGCTGACAGATCTATTTATATTCAAACACAAACATTCTCAAAATGAAATGTATTTTATAGTGTACTCATCTTGATAAAGTTGTTCATACTTGTGCCTTGCCTTGAGTCAAAAGTACCTCCTCGCTCTCACCTCATAAAAACTAAAGTACAACTGCTCGGATACAATCTTCATAAAACCAATCTCTCTGTGCAATAAAACATAGATAACATTATAAATAATTATCATCTGCATCTGTTCAGGGCCATATTTGCAGATACTTTCCTGAATCCTTTTCTCAGTAAGCAGTAGGCCACAAGTAAATACATGTGAAACTAATAATTTCAAAACATGGATATTTCACTGGGGACTAAGGATTGACTACTAGATGAATAGGGATATAGACTATCTGGATTGCTATGTCTGTTAATATAGGCATGATTTGCCCTAAAGTATCATTACTGGAGGCTATAGAAATGGCTAAAGGTGCAAATGAGCATAATTAATACAGAGCAATATCCAAAATAACTTAACATGCCACTTCACTAGAATTGCAGAGAAGTTTCAGTGAGTTTGGCAATCTCAGAGACAATGCACTGCAAGTGAGAACAATGGAAGAACCCTGGTAGTGCAGTGGATAACAGAAAAAGAAAAGGAGGGGAAATTACATCCCTCACACCTATTAGACGCCGGCAGGCAGAGTGAAGATAATTACATAATCGCACTAAACTGTGTAATCAGCTAACAGCGATATTAGCATATCATCACTGTGTACTCAGGGATCTTATTTCTTAAAATCTTTCTCTTATCTGCTGTGTGATCGCACCCTCTTAGCCTGATATGAGAAACACACCAAGCAATGAGCGCTGGGATTCGTCATGATTAAAACATTATCGACTATGAGTCATAATGCAGAACTTAGTTCCTGCTTTATTGAAACCCTCTTCGCAGCGTGCACTCTTAAGAGTGAAATAGGACTTTGTGCAAAGACAATATTACACATTCCCCCTGAGAAGAGCGTAGATTTAAGTCATTCATCACTTCCCGTGTCACCTTCAAATAATCCTCCCCACCGAGTTTAATCGTCCCTTGTTTTTAGCTCTGATTTCCACTATCTTGCCTGGCTGGGCATTGGGGCTGTGACATGGAAGAAGGTCTCTCCGAATGTGTGTTCCCCTCCAACACCTCAACCTCTGGACCCCACCATCCCCCATCCCTCAGTTCCCGTAGTTATGCAATGACCTTACATTTGGATCCCCTGTCGATCTTTTGTCCTTGGCATAAAAGCCGTCTTTTCTTCCTGCTCTTCGGGGTCCATGCCAGCCCTTGACTGACTCCCATAAAGTCTGCTGTCAGCTCGAATGAATATGTTGTGCAGGGTGACAGGCAGACCGGCCCACTGAGTAACTCTCCCCTCTCTGGAATCACACTTAACAGCAGCATGCACAATAAGCACATGGCTATGGCAAACCCTACTGAAGCAGCCAAAGCACACAGGACTTACAGTATGGCACAGAGTGAGAGAATCTGAGACATGCTTATTTACTATGGCCAATGATGGTAATTCAACTCTTCGGTCGGTCTGCTTATTATAT